GAGCATTTCACTTTATTGTGCACACTCTCCTAGGTATGTCTATTTACGCCAGGTCATGTGGTCTACCACTTCCTGTGAGACACTACGACCTCCTTTGGTTTATATTTATAGGATAGAAAAATTGTACGAACAAAAAAAATCATAAAAAATAAGATAACATGTATCTTAAATCGTATGAAGAGGAATAGAAAAAAAATGTTTTTTGGTTCACATCATAAGACTTTTTTCATTGAGTCTAGATTAATATTTATTTTACTATGAAATATACGGGATAGGAATAATTCCTTCATGAAAATAGGATTCTATTCCTACAAATTAAAGAGTTCTAAAGAAATTTTTTCTATCGAACCCTATCCTATGAAATTCCTACATAATTGGCCTACAACAGAGTTGCATGCATGCGCTCCTCATTCTCTCTTCTCTCTTCCAAACAAATCCACCATTTTATTCCACCTTGCCTAACTTAAATCAGCTATGTCTTTTAAACCCATATTTTGATTTCTCGAACTTATTATATAACCAAATTCCTCGCGTAAAAACCTGCAGGTTGATGTTTTTTGTGTGGTTCCAATCTATTTTTTGAATTGAGTGTATTTGTTTTTATAAACGAGTAAAATCAGTTTTTGGAATGAGTGAATTTCACTTTTAAAATAGAGTGAAATCAGTGAAATTTGTTTTTGAAACGAGTGAAACCATGTGTTTAAAAAGAGTGAAATTTGTTTCTTGATTTCTTAGAATCATTTTTGAAATGACTAACAATAACACCTCGCAGTCCACAAAAACACCTCTTCTCAAACATAGTTGAAAAGACTAATAAAATAAATCAAGTAAAATGCGAGAACAAGATACACCGCTACAGGTGAGGCCGAGTAGCACAGTCCTACTTGACCACTGCGGCCGGGCGTGGAAGTAAGCGTCGACACTCGACACTACCCAACAAATACACGGAATCTCATTTCGCCAAGTCCACCGCGTGAGCAGAGCACTGAGCACGAACAGAGAGCACCACCAAGCTCCCGATTCTAGGCCACGCACCGCCAAGTGGACGAGCTAGCAACCTCCTGATCTTCGCCATGGACGACGCCGGATCATCATCCTCGCCGCTGCGCGTCGTGATCGTCCCGTGGCTCGCGCTGGGCCACCTGCTCCCGTACATGGAGCTCGCCGAGCGGCTCGCGTCCCGGGGCCACCGAGTGTCCTACGTCTCCACGCCGCGCAACCTCGCGCGCCTCCCGCCGCCGGCGCCGCGCGTGGAGCTCGTGGCGCTCCCGCTGCCGCGCGTGCACGGCCTCCCCGACGGCGCCGAGTCCACCAACGACGTCCCGGCACACCAGCGGGAGCTCCACTGGAAGGCCTTCGACGGCCTCGCCGCGCCCTTCGCGGAGTACCTGGCCGCCGCGTGCGCCGACGAGGCCACGACGCCTCACTGGGTCATCGCCGACACTTTCCACCACTGGGCCGCCGCCGCCGCCCTCGAGCACCGGGTGCCGTGCGCCATGCTTCCCCCGACCGCTGCCTTGATCGCCACCGTGCTCAGTCACAGCCAGCCGTCGGAGCACGACGGAGCGCGCGCTCCTCCCCGTTATGAGCAAGAGGGGAGGGAACCGATTTACAGCAACCATGGCGTGTCGGGCATGTCCATCATGCAGCGCTTATTGTTGACAAAGGAGAGGTGCACGGTCGTGGCCATCCGTAGCTGCGTCGAGTGGGAGCCCGAGTCTTTCCCGCTGGCGGCCACGATCCTCGGCAAGCCGGTCGTGCCCCTCGGCCTTCTGCCGCCCTCAGCCGATGCAGCCCGCCGTGCCGCCGCCAGCGGGGCAGAGCACGCCACCGTGCGCTGGCTGGACGCGCAACCTCCCGGCTCGGTGCTGTACGTGGCGCTGGGGAGCGAGGTGCCGCTGCGCGTGGAGCAGGTGCACGAGCTGGCCCTCGGGCTGGAGCTCGCCGGGACGCGCTTCCTCTGGGCTCTCAGAAAACCCAGCGGCCCCGGCGCGGCCGCCGTCGATGCCGACATCCTCCCTCCTGGTTGCCAAGAGCGCACGCGTGGCCAGGGGCTGGTGACCACGGCGTGGGTTCCCCAGATGGGCATCCTGGCGCACGCGGCCGTGGGCGGGTTCCTGACGCACTGCGGCCGGAGCTCGCTGATCGAGGGCCTCCTGTTCGGGCACCCGCTCGTCATGCTCCCAATCTTCGGCGACCAGGGGCCGAACGCGCGGCAAATGGAGGCGAAGAAGGTGGGGCTGCAGGTGGCGAGGGACGAGGACGACGGGTCGTTCGACCGCCATGGCGTCGCGGCGGCGGTCCGGGCCGTCATGGCTGACGGAGAGGCCAGGAGGGGCTTCGTAGCAGGCGCAGCGAGGATGCAGGAGGTGGTAGCCGATACAGAGCGACATGAGAGATACATCGACGAGTTTGTGCAGCAGCTTAGATCTTACTCCGCCGCAGGTGCAACGAACTGATGACAATTTCACTACTGCCAAATACTAAATCAGTAAAATCGTTCCAGATTACTTTGGAAACCACACATTCAAAGAATTAAATCGGTGGTCACTGATTCAAGTTCTTATACAGGAAACACATTCAAGTGGTTTCTTCATATGCATCTTACTCAAGTTGTCTCTAGTCTTTAATTTATTCTGAGAAAACAACCATGGGAACACACAAAGTTCAGGAGGGATTTTCAGTTTCAAAACAACAGGAAGGTAGAGATAGGCGTATAGTTGACTTGGCGGTCATCTGAGACACCCTGTATAGTTTTATTAACCTCATTGGCAATATGATACAAGTCCCATTGCTGGTTGACCAAAGGAGCGGTGACCAACAATCCTCCAAAAACATGGTCATGTTACCTTCCAGCGATACCCTAATATGACAGCTTTGGAGGCCCAGATGACCCCTTTCCAGATGAAAGAAGCACAAGTGTCTTTAAAACAGACTACATTGGGTTTAGTATTTGCTACTGTACAAATCATCTACAATAAGTTGTGGTGCCCTCGAAATCATTCCACATGCAGTTGGCCATTTGAGTGTTGATCATTTCTAAAGCCCATTTGAGGAGTTTAAAAAAGGAGAGTACGTAAACAGGGATACTCGCTAAACAGGAGTAAGAGTAAGCATGACAAAGTTCAGTCTAAACAAGTCTAAATCATTGCTTCCCCAAGCAATCACTGTGACATGCCATATTTTTTTGCTAAAACATAAAAGAAAGGCCATCAAGGCCTGGAGCTCCATCAGAAGAAGAACAAAAAGCAACATCTTTCACTTCCTCCTCGGAGAAAGGTGCATCAAGTGAATTCTTTTCCTTAAGTTAACTTTTCCTCTTCTCTAAAGAAGTCTTCTTTAAGGGATGATATGTGAGGTCTGTTCTCAAAGCAAACAAGATAATCAGTTGCTACTTCTATCGTCCTCCACTTCAGTTACATTACAAGGCCCTCATGTCTCGCTAGTTCATGGATAGGGTTTTCCTCTCCCTTTGATTAGCAAGATGTACTTGTATCCCCCTAGAGAAAATATCTATCCCTAGATCTCTAGCCTTAGTTTCTTCCATCACCCAAAGATGAAAAGCTATTTATTTCTATAATAACCTCCTGCATTCTAGCATGATCTACATAAGACACATAGGATATCATAGATTTATATCTAAGAGATCATACTCCTCCAACATACTTTTCTTGTGGTCTCTCATTGCAGACTCTATGTTAGCACCCCAACCCATTTATGCTTTCTTAAATTTTCTTACTTTAAATTATTGCCAAACATCTATAGAGTTGGAACAATCACAGTGACTATTCCAAGCTTCCTAATAGTTTCAAGAAGTCAATCAAGAAGTCAGTCCTAGCCAACCACAATTTCTCAAACTTAAACTAGATTTACCTAGGTGTCTTGTTATACGCAGGTTCCCACAGAAAAAGTGACATAATCACTGCCAAGCCTCCAGCAGCAGATAAAGGGAAAATAGCATCTAAATTTGTGGTGCAAAAGATCCTATCAATCCTAGACATAATGAAGTTTCTCTGGTTGTTAGCTCAGGTAAACTGTCTACCAGATAAGTGAATGTGCATGAGAGACCAGATATCTACCCATGCATTAAACCTATCACGTCATTTAAAATCCAGAGAGTCACTATTCTTATCAGATTGATATCTAACTAAGCTAAAATCCCCACCTATAACAGTAGGAACATGGCACTCAATGAACAGATCATGCAATTCAGTTATGAAAAGTTGGATCCAGGAATTGACTTATTTTTACGAGCTGCACCACAACAAAACTTGCAGGTTACAAAAGTACTCACAATGCTCTTCCCCGCTGCCACCACTAAAGCCCCACACACGCACACAGAAAGCAGACCAAAGTAGCCAGACAAACGAAAACTCCACCAACTCAACACGAGAGCAGTCAATCATCGCATGTCTCTTCATCAATCATCAATGGGGGTGCATGGCAATGAAGGCACGCTGATGTTCTCCTCCATCGCGCTGCTGCGGCAAAGGTTCAGCGAGCTGGAGAGGATCAAGGAGAAACAGGAGGTCAGGCTTTACCACATACTCGCCCTCGCGGACCCGACTTCACTCACATTGTCAGTAACAAAACCAGAATTGAGTGGAGCCGCCGGTCAGATGATTCTTCCACTCAGAGCTGCTGCATCCATACAGGCCTCTGTGCGGCACTACTACCTTCTGTCCAGTCGTGCCAGCCACCAAAACTGCTTCGGAATGCAAAACCATCCAGCTCGGCAGCGATTCACTCACCGTGGCCCAGCGAGGCCTACAAGCACGCGTGCAGCGAAGTTGATGCCTGACACCTCAGTGCACCTCTAGATTACTACTAATGTTACTAGAAATGTTGTCCTAAGCTGTTAGCCTTCGCAGTCTCCTTGGTGTTACTGTCGCTGTTTTCCGTAGCCTATTATGTTTTCCCTCTTTTCTCTTCTTCGGTTGTATGTTGCAACAAGGGCAGGAGGTTGGTGAGCTGTAATTATTGCCAGTAGTACAATGGTGCTAATTGTTTACTTTGTTACCTTGTCCCACAGAACTGCCAGAATCTTCTAGCTCCGCACTATCATCTGAGTATGAAACTAGCTCTGCAGGACAACCATTTTCTGTTATATCAGGGCACTCGTCGTCATCATCGCTGTCGGAAGAATTACCAGAGTCCTTCTTCTTCCGTTTGATAATCTTTTTTGACATCAGCCGGTTGACACCCTTGTTGTCAACGTCTACACATTCGCTGCTTATTGGCTTGAAACATACTTTACTGACCTTTCTTGCATTAGCTTCAAGTATCTCAAGTTCATAAGCTTGAGTTGCTTCTCGTTCATCTTGGTGATCAGATCCTTCGTCCTGATATTCACCATTCTCCTCGCTTTTATCCCTTTCGAGTATCACAAGCATTTTCCCACCTTCTTCTGGTATATAGCCAAAGGATTCACAAACAAAACCAGACACGGTCTCATACTGATGGCCCTCTGGTATTTTAACACCAAGCTCTTCAGAAAGATCGTCTATAGATGTGTTTGCATCGACAACAAATGTTCCATCTTCCAGCATTACTATATTACCTGTTTTCTTCTGGATTTCCTCCTTTGAATCATTCTCATCAAAGATTTCACCGACTATTTCTTCCACCACATCTTCTAATGTCACGATACCAATCGTTCCACCATACTCATTGAGGACCACTGCCATATGAACCTGCCTGATCCGGAACTCTCTCAGCAGGTTCCAAACGGACATGGAATCTGGGACAAAGTATATAGGCATATGTGCGATTTCCTTCACAGTGATGTCCTTCAACTTCTCAGCCTCTTCAACATATTCAAGCATGTCCATTGCATATACAATTCCCACGATATTATCTATGCGCTCCTCAAATACAGGAACTCTAGAGTACTGGTGGGTTTCCCATAGGTTTTTGAAATCAATCAGTGTTGCGGCTGCATCAATTGCAACCACATCTACCAAAGGTGTCATCACCTCCCTTACATGTGTGTCTTTAATCTCGAGCACATTCTCAATCATATCCTGCTCGTCTTCTGCAATTGCACCACTCAACTCCGCTCCCCGGAGCATTAGCTTCAGTTCATCTTCAGTCACATATGGCTCACTTCTTCCTTTAAGGCCTAGAAGCTTTAGAATTCCCATGGATATAATTGTAACAATACGCCCAACGGGGTACAGGATGATTGAAAGCCAAGCGATTGGTCTGACCACAAACCTGGCAACTTCTGTGGCATTGTGGACTGCAACATTCTTAGGTGTGATTTCTGTAAGAAGTAGAACGGCGACAGTCATGACGCCTGTTGCTGCACTGACACCTGCTTCACCGAACATTGCTGTGGCCGCCTCAGTGACAATTGCCGTTGCGCCAATGTTAACCACAGTTGTGCCGATGAGTATGGTTGTGAGGAAGCGAGTGACATCATTTCGGAGCATTTTGAAGACGCCGTTCTCGGGTTCCTTATCGGCCAGCTCACGGACCTTCCAGGGCCAGAGCGTGGTGATGGAGGTCTCGGCCATGGAGAAGAAGGCGGAGAGGCCGAGTAATAGGGCGAGAATAAGGCCCTGCTCCCTGAGCAGCTGCAGAACCTGCAGCACCGTGGGCCAGCTCCCTCGCAGTCGCAGCGCCACCCAGCCGACCACATCGGCCGCCTCCACCGCCGTGGACGCCCCCGCGCCTGCTCCCGCCGCAGCGGCCCCCGCGGCAAGCGCCCGATGGCACCACACTGCCGCCAGCGCGCTGCAGATAAGCGCCACCGCGACCCTCCTCGCAGCCGCCAGCCGGCCGCCCGATTCATCCTCAGCCTCCGACGCCAGGGGAGGAGAAGCCGCCGGCCGGCCCGATTCATCCGCAGCCTCCACCCCCAGCGAAGGAGCAGCCGTCACCCGGAGGGAAGCGGGCGTGGGGACGAGCAGGGGGCGCCTGGCGACGCCGCGGAGCCACGGGCGGCAGGGGGAGGGGGAGGCGGAGCGGTACGGGGGCTTGGTGGGGGCGCGGGGCGACTGGATCTGGAGCCGCGGGAGCCTGCTGCCGGCGAGGAGCAGCGAGGCCGTGGAGGGGAATGGGGTGGAAGGGGGCGACATGGCGCCGGCCGGCGGCGGAATTGTGAGGTGGATTGGACGGGCAGGGGCGGAGGGTGGTTGCGTGAGGGGACGAAGCGGGGATGATGCCATCGAGCCGGAGGTGCGGGGGTGGGGCCGGCGGCCGGTGCGCAACAAACCTGGCCACGTGGGCATGGGCCGGCGCGGCATGGACGTGTCGGACATTTGTAAATGGGCTGCGCCGTGACGGCCCGAAGGCCCGGCCATGGGGATCGGCCCGGCACAACACAGCTGCGGCCCGGCCCATGTTGCTTTTCAGCTTTGTGGGCCATTTCAGCCATCCGAGCCTTTTATTTTTATTCTTATTCTGAAAATTCTAAATTAAGAGGAAAATGTTGAAAAATCTAAAATAATTAAGAAAAATACAAAAAAACCTCAAAAGAGACAAAGTGTCATATGAATAAGTATTTAGCTTTATTAGTAGATGTCTCATTAAAACATTCTAGGTAAAACTCCCCTTGAAGCAGAGTACAAAGCTTGCTCAAAATTACAAAAAGAAAATAAAATTACAAAGATTACAACTGATCTTCTAGTTGTTCATTGTCTAGCTAAAGATTTTAGAACATGGATGTAGATCTGTGCTATGTGTGGTGTGTTGGGCTCTTTGTCTGGCTAGTTTCCCATCTTTCATGGTCATTAGTGTCATAACCATATTAATTGTGAGATTGGTTCCTCTCTCGCTGAGTATTATTCCAATTAGAATGAAAGCAGACTCCAATGATACCATTGAGACGAATACACTTAACACATCTTGTGCTAATATGTCAATCACTAGATATGTAAGCTTGTGGTCATGCCACCACTGCAAATGTTGAAGTCATCATCATTTTTTTACAGGGAAAAGAGAGCTTTATATATTACTTTGTACCCAGAGTACTGTCTTTCAAGATTACATCAGTTATACTATAAGGCACCCTGCCCATCACAAAAAAACTGCCATTAGCTCTACCATAAGCAGCAAGTTTATGAGCAGCCTTGTTGCTCTCTCTTCCAATCTTTGTTATTCTTCAAGATGGAGAATTCTTCAGCAAGTCCAACGAATCGTTGTAAGTAGCCCACCATCTTGGCAGGATCACAAAATTTGCATTGAGGGCCTCAATCACAGCTGCGTAGTCTGTCTCGAACATCGTCGGACCAATATATACTTTTTTCCAGAGCTCGCATGCCTAAAAGCATCGCCTGCCCTTCAGCCTCTTCAGCATCACTGCAATCAGGAAGGGTCCAACCCGCACTAAACAAAATCTCGCCATTGCTATTTCTTGCAATGATTTCCGCCGCAGCCAAACCCGTACCAACAATAAAAGATGCATCAGAATTTACCTTCATAGAGCCAACAGGGGCCCTAGTCCAAGCATTGGATGCATGAGCACTAAACTCTTGTTTTGCTCTAGGCATTTCAACCACAGGACTCTTGCCCTTTAAGTCATCCGTTGAATTAATGCCTCCCATAAGATAGTTCCAGTAATTAGACAAGAAGATGACAGATTCGGCGATGGAGACAGTACCTTCATGATGCACAATGTCGTCGCGTAAATACCAGGCTCTCCATAACAACAACAAAATCTTATCTCTGGAGGTGCTGTCACATTGGCTAAGTAACATCAACATCCAATCGGGACCGGAGCAAGCGAAACAATCTTCTTTCAGCAAAGACCATACCCCCCTCATTGCTTCTCTGAGAGCTCTAGCTTTAGTGCAGCGAACAGTAGCATGGTGTGCATCCTCAAGCTCCCTACCACAAATATTGCAAATGCTATCATGTTCCGAAGTCCTCTTCAATTTGTTTTCTTTTGTTGGTAAGGAATCAGTAGCGGCTCTCCGCGCAAATATTCTGGCCCTGTGGGGAATGTGTGCTTTCCAAATGAGGTTCCAAAGAGACTCTCTTCCATTGCCGTGGCTATGTGATGTTTCTTCCCAGCTTGTCCCATTTTTTAGGTTCAGCCCCAGTTTGTAAGCGCTCCTCACCGTAAAGCAACCATTCTTTTCATAATTCCAAGCCAGCAAGTCATCAACAGGTCTTGAAGGTATTTTAATTTTGCATATCTCAATAGCATCAAAATCATGGAATAGACAATGAACCAAAGGCCTATTCCATACATTTGTGTTTGGCATAATCAATTGGTTCACCCAATGAATTCTGCTTCTCCTTTTAAGGGACAGGACCGACATCCCCTCTTGGCGAGGGATCCAATTATCTCTAAGAATCTTGTCGGATTTCGGGTTCCGGCAGACCCTTGAGGTTCAAACACTGGGGTGCGCGCGGAGATTTCGCCTCCTACCTACCTGCACCCCTCCGCCTCGCTAAGATCTAAGCTAAGGAAAGAACAACACAAGAGACACAGGGTTTATACTGGTTCGGGCCACCATTGTGGTGTAATACCCTACTCCAGTGTGTGGTGTGGTGGATTGCCTCTTGGGCTGATGATGATGAACAATACAAGGAAGAACAGCCTCGCGAGGGTCTGTTCTTGGCTGGGGCGATGAACTGCTGGGAGGAGCTCAGTCACCCTTCTCTCTCTCTACCTGAATGCCGACAGTAGCCCCCGGGCCCAAGGCGCGCCCGGACTTGGCCGTGCAGGGAGGCGGAAGGGCAAGAGCGAAGCGCCGCGGGCCCTAACAGCATGCGGTCTTGGGCGCCGCGTGGCGGTTGATTGGACGTGGGCGTCTCCACTTTCCCATGGCGCCTCGGCAACTGCACGGATTGGACAAGCCCCTACATGCAAAGCGGGTCATGATTACCTGCGATCGTGGAGGTCGGCGGTTGGCCTTCGCCGGCCATAAGTGCGGAACGGCGCGCGCCCTTCCAGTCCATCCCTTCTTGCTTCTCCTTCTTCCCGGTCCTTGCTCCGTCTTGCTGCGATGGCTCCGATCCGCCAGTTCTCGACGACAGAGAAGGGAAAGGCTCCCTGAGAGGAACCAGACCCGCTCCCGCCGAAGAAACGGCTCGCCCTCCGCGGCCCGGACGAGGGGGCCCATCAGGTGGTGTCGAGGCCCTGGTGCGAGCGGGCACCGCCGGGGTTCCCTCTTCCCTTGTATGCCCACATCGAGGGATGTGAAGGAGTTGATGCTAATCGCCACGGGCGGCGCCGCCGTCTGCGCCGATGGGTCACGAAGGTGTGGGTCGTCCCCCCTGGGGTCCACACCGAGGGCTCCTCCCGAGAGTTCGTGCTGCACGCCGCCATGCCTCCTTAGTCTTGGATTCGCCTTCCTCCCTTCTTCGCCTCCATCATTCCGCAGGGAGAACTCCTGGAGCTTTGGCTGCAGCACGCCGGTTGCAGCACCCTCGCGACCGAGGCAGAGGTCGCGGTCGTCGCCCCGGGCGAGGTCTTCATGACTCAGGGCTAGAGCGAAGTCGCCCGGGTTTGCAGGACAAGCGGCGCCTTCATGATCCACTTGGAGTACGACGGTGCTTCTGTGATGTTCTTCAAGGTCTTCGATGCGAACGGGCGTCGGCTGGAGTGCTGCCCCAGGAGAGGTGGCCGGGACCCTGCTGCGGTGAGGACTGGGCCCGCCGACCGCTCCCTTGGCGGCTCCTCAGGCGGTGGAGGCGTCGAAGGTTCCAGCGACTCCGGCGAGCTCTTCGCGACTCCGGGGACGAGCGACGACAGCTACGAGCCCCCGAGCCGGTGTCGCTCCTGGAGCAGGGCGGGCTCGTCAGGCCGTCGCCACCTCTGATCTGGATGGTGTTGACGCCGGTGCTTGACGACCCACTGTTGATGATGGTGTCTTTTGCAGGGGCGCGCGTAGTTAGCATCCTTTTAGGATCTGTTCCCTGCGAGGAATCAAAGACGCGTCCCGTGGGGGCTTGTAAGGTGCATGTGATCCTGTTTTGTTAATATAACCCTTGTCGTAGAATTGTGCGAGTTGCTCATTCCGTCTTGGCTCAGTTCTCCCTTTCGAACCTCACAAGGGCTTGGTGCTCTACGCCGACAGGTCCCAGTCCCAAGGCGGCTTCAGCCGTCGCTGGTATGCCAGGTCGCGATGCCGTGGTCAAGGCCAGGAGGTGAGCGACCCAGAGTTCGGTAAGATCCCCTGAGTCGCGATGCTCAGGAGGTCTCCTTTGGCGCTCAAGCAGCCGTCGTTCGGTGAGAAAGGAGAGCGGCGTCGCTAACACGGGATTGCATTAGGTGCGGGGATGGTGCCACGGTAGCTGGCGCTTCCGGGTGGTGACTTATCTCGAGAATCAGGGGTCGCTCTCTGGTGTGTCGCCGGGTCCGTGCATCGGCAGGCGTGAGGCTTCTCGGCAAGGTCCTCGTGTGTCCCTCCCCTCTCGCCTTTGCTCCCCTTTCTGCTCTACGTCCTCGGGTCCCGGCCCTCGAGCGAGTCTCAGCCGTCGCTGGTATGCCAGGTCGCGATGCCGTGGACAAGGCCAGAGGGTGAGGGCTGGAGAGCCAGTAGGAGCCCTGAGTCGCGATGCT